GGAATGTGCTTAGTCTGCTCTAGGAAGGCCATCAGCTCTCTATCTGGAGATGGATAGCATGTTTCATCTTAGGAACAGGATGGCACACTGTTGTGCTTCTATTGCTTACAATTTAAAACAAACTCATTTTAATTCAGCATGGCTTGGAAGGGTTAAAGGTATGATCCTCCCATGTGTTCTTTCAGTTAAAAGCCCTGTCTAGTTACTCAAAAGATTTAAAGTGAACAAGACGTTTGCTGATTACTTTCCTTAGTGTTGGAAGGCTGGTTCGGGACCTCCATTTTCTGAAGCCAATGCAAATTCCATTTCCCGCTCTGGGAAACTGAGCCTGGGGCCATTGAGGAGGGCAGGAATGCTAGCCTCAGGCTCCTGTGTCTTGACTTTCAGAGACCAGCCAGAGACAAGTCTGACACTCTGGGTCATGGTTAGGAAAAGCTGCACTGAAGCCCATTCCTTTGATTCCTTACCAAAATCTAGGATTGGACATTTGTGGTTGCTTCACAAATCTACCTAAAAATATGCCCACCCCTTACAGTGCGGCCTCAGGCCCTGTCCGTGGGCTTTGGCATCCTGGAATGTAGTTACAAAAGGAAGACAAATTAGAAAAGCCATCAAGAGTAGCCTGGCTAATTGGGACCAGGTCACCACAGATAATTTTTGTGGGCATGAAAGCATTTTTCTGTGACTGGGTCTTTCTATTGGTCCTTAATTAATTAATTATCCACAGCCAAATTGAAGCCATATTTATTTATCTAGTTACTTCAGGACAATAAAAATCCAACAAAAATAAAAACACAAACCCCAAACCAAACGAAAACCCCCCAAAACTCCAACTCCTCAAACATTTCCACCTTAATTATTTGATTGTCTCATTGACTGTACCTACAAAATTTCAGTCCCCAAGTTACCTCAGCTTTTCAGGGCATTAAAGTGGTTCATAGAGACTATTCTAAGAGTTTGAAATCATCTAAGACTTTTCCCATTTTACACTGTAGAGATTGCCTTTAAAGAGAGACACCTGGGCTCATACATCCTTCTGTAATTAGGAGCAATTTAAGAAATTCAAGTGCAATTTGGGAAAGATTCGTAGGAGAGCAACAGTGCTATCCCCTATGTAGAAAGGAAGAGGCTACTCAATCTAGGTGGGAGTAGCCTGACATGAAAGTCAACGATGAAACTGTCCAAACATATGAGGGGTTTCAGAAAGTCAGATGGCTAGCTTCCTTAGCCCTTACTGAACACGGAAGAAAGGGCCTTGGGCTACAATGGCCATCAGAAAGTTGTCCAGTGTGAGAATAGACCTCTAAAGGTTGTTGGACCTCTTGGGATCCTGAAAATGGGGCCCTATTCTCCTTGGTCTGGTGGAGCCCGAAGGCCAAGAAATGGACAAACTGACGTCTTCTCAAGTTCCCTTTTAAGCTTGAACAAATTCGGACAGTCTGTGGCTACAAGGGGGATAGATTTGTCATTCTCCCTCTTCTCATGTTATCATCCTAGTCATTATTATCAGGAATACCTGGAGCTTATTTTTCCAGTTAAAGAAAAAGCAAGAACAGATTAGCAGAAAGACCCATATTAGGAGGGTTCTGCCATTGACCAGACTGCCTTTGAGAAGGAAGGATCCTTATCACTCTCTGCTCTGCTTGGGTCACCGTACAGGAGCAGCCCATGGTTACACTTAGTTTTAGGACCATTTAAGCAAATTCTTTAGTCTCTTATTCCATTTCAGTACTTGGAGAAAGGGGTTGCGGGCAGTCAAAGCAGTTACCGATTGAAAATGCTATCTCTAGTTTTAGTTGGGAGTTATACATACCAGAAGTTAAAGATCTTTTGCCCATGAGTCCAACAAAGGAATCTGTTTTATGCCCTGAAAAAATATATGTTGGGGTGTTGAAATATGCAAAGAATTCTTATGATTAGAAAAAGTAAGAAAAGACAGTCTCTCTCCTAATCAAACTTGTCTCCATTGGGACAGTCACTGAAGTGGGAACACCACTCTTTCCTGTAGGGTAAGCCCATGGGCAGGTAAACAGAGAAGCCCACGGATGTTCCAGAGCCTAAGGTGCACCAAGTACTTTTTACTTGGGTACAGAATTAATTTTTTCTTATGAAAATTTTAAATTGCTCCTAACTGAATCAGGTTAGAGAGGTTTTCTGTCTAGGTTAGGTCTATGGGAGAGAATCCAGCTATTTCTTGCTTTCCTTAATTGAGCACTGAGGACTTGCAAGGACCAGGTACTGCTGTCTGTTTAGGTTTGTCCCTGAGCAGGTGGGTGGCTGCAGGCTGGAAACTGTGTCTGTCCAGGAGACAGGCAGGTGAAGGGCCAAGTTCCAAGGGCTGGGCAGAATCTCCTCCTGGCTCACAGGAAGGGGTCAGTACTGCCTTAGTTGAAAGGGTCTCAGCCCTGCCCCCCCTGCCCTCCTCCCCCCTCCAGCCTAGTGGGGTGTGGTAATTGGCTGGGGAGGAGGGTTGCATGCATACATTTATTTCTAAACCTCTTTGCTTTAGACTTGACTGTTGCTTATTCATAACACTTACCAAAGCAGCTTTTGAGAATGTGGCTGTCCATGAGACAACAGTGGAGTGAAAGCCAGTGAACCCCCGAAGGGGGCAGTTTATAAAGGAAGCAGGAGCCACCTGGGGTTAATCTATTGAATGTGCTAGATCATGCTAGGAAGGCCTCAGATGCCTTTTGGAGAACAAGCATAAAGCCCAGATGTTAGACTGACAAAGCTCTTTTCCAACCAATCTAAGTCTCCATCAACTGCCCCTTGGAAGCCCAAATCCTTCGAAAAGATAATTTTGTATCTCCCTGGGCTTCAGAAACAACAGCGCTTCATTTTCATTTTGGTGAACCTTCTTATTGGTGACATTAGCTTAGTCTGTCAATGCTCATATGGGCAGAAAATGCCTAATGACAGAAATTCTGACCTCCTAGACAGCTGAACATAGATCTCCCCTCGTTGAAACATAAGCCTTTGGAGCTCAATGACCAGGCTTCACATCCCAGCTTGGCCATCTACTAGTGAGGAGACCTTGGGCAAGTCTCAGTTCTCTGGGCCTCAGTTTCCTCGTCTGTAAAGGGGGAGGCTGGTCTGGCTGACCTCAAAGGTCCCTTTCAGCTTGAAAACCTGCTTTTATCTTTAGATCCAGTTTAGCTCAGACACCCCTCAACAACAACAATAGCTAAGGTATGTCAACCTATCTCAGCTCCCTGAGGCCAGAGGTTTCTAGACGCTCAGCTACATTTGGGGGTTTCAAAAGACTTTTGGTTGGGAATCCCCTGGAAATGCAGGGGGCTGACTAATCAAGGGAAATGGTGGCCCTTTGCAGAGCAGTGCCTATGAAGGAAGGCTTCCTTGCCTTTCCCCCCCTCTCCCTTGGACCTGGGGAACATTTCCCTGTGTCCTGGGTGGGGCTTCCCACAGGGGCAGCGCTTGACCAAATTTCATTCCTTCTGAATCACTGGGAGTAAGCATTTTCCATCCAGATACCCACTTGAACTGTTGGAATTCACCAATTTCTAATCATGTTTTTTGAGCCAAGGGACTGGTCAGAAGCCACTAGGATGGCAGTTCTAAAGGGATAGCTAGACACTCACCAGAGTTTCCTGAAGTCTCTGAGGAATTCTCCTTTCTCCCTGGGGTTTAAATGCTCAGACAACAAAATTGTACAAACCTAAATGTATCTGTATGCAGAGCACCATGTCAGGGGCTGGAGGAGAGACACAGTTTAGGTCTCTGACTTCCTAGAACTTAGAATCTCTCAGAGGCATGACCCACTAATAAGCACGTTGAGGTTTTCCCAGAGCCCTGTTCTCAGGGTCCCCAAAGACAATCATCTCTCTGATCACTAAAAAGCATCAGAAAATCTGGCCTAAAGGATCTCAGACACTGCCTTTCCAGAAAGCTCATTCTGGGTGAAGTCATTTGCCAACTGTGTCCCCTCCAGACATGCACTCAAACAAGAAAAGCTGATAAATGAATAAGATGCAAACTGGCTCATAATCATGCTTGACAAATATTAAAATAACATTGAAACTTACTTTTATGAGATATTTGACCATGCCCTAGGGGAACAAAAGGAAAGAGATTAGTGAGCACAAATAGACTCTGAGGGTTCAGAGAACAAGCCACCCTGGACAGCTGTCTGGACAGTTACCTGGACAGCTTGGCACAGTCCCAGAAAACAGGCTTAGGGAAGATGACAACAATTAGATCAGCCCTATGAGGCTGGAGAATGGATCACAATGGGGATTTCCAGCCAACCCAAATATTAGTAGTGAAAGCTGAATAATGAAGATTTTAATCTCAAGAAAGTCCCCCTCATCCTCCTCCCCAACAGAAATAAATGAATGGCTACAGGAAGACTCAGTTGCCGGGGTCTGATTTCCACTCATCAGCTAACGTGCACACAGGAGTGATAGCCTGAGTACGATGCTGGGAGTCGGGGAGGGGGTGGGGAGATGTTTACCATAGAGAGCCTTTAACATGCCCACTTGCTTTTCAACTGAGGTATCTGACAAAAAATGAATTGACATTAACCAGGAATGATAGTGTGAGTTTCATCAAGGAAACGGAGGCTGGAGCTATGATGTGATACAATGGGCAGCTGAGCCTTGTTGTCCATGACTGGCAGCCAATCTTCGCACCAAAGCTGTTGTCTGTGATGGGTGCTGCCCTCCAGTGCTCTGCCCCACCCCCCTCCCTCCCAGGGATCTGGAGGCCACTCACAAGATAAAGTGTCTCCTATCCTGGAGATTTCAGGCTCTGGGGTGTTGGAAGAGTGCATGTAAGAGGCTGTCGGAGAGGGGCTGGCTCCTGTTTGTTTCTTTTCAGAACCAAGTAAGAAATGGGGAGAATATCAGGACAGAGCTCCACCCCTCCCCCCAGTCTAAGGGAGGAAGGAAGGCTGAGGGTCCCAGACTTCCCTTTAGGGCAGCTCTAGGAGAGGGGCTTGAGTACTTACCAGCGTCCCTTTTGCCCATCAACCCAAAGAACTGCTGAGGCTTGGGTCTCCTGGCAATTCTCTGCAAGAAATGCTCAAAGGGCTCGGAGAGCTCTTCCTGGGGGGGTGAGTGTATGGGCGTGTATGTGGGAGGGCAGTGGAATAGACAGACAGAGATAGACAGACAGACAGACAGAGAGAGAGAGAGACAGCTGGTGCATCACTGGAGCAATGTGGAAGGGGGTGGGGTTTGCACCTTCCTTAATCCTGGAGACCAGAACTACAGAGTTCACTGGTTTGGGTTGGATTTAGGGAGCAGAGGACAGAAGAGGAGGGGGGGAAGATGAGGAAAGAAGAAAGGAGAGATGAGGGAATAGGAGAGAAATGGAGAAGAGAGGAGGGAAGTGGAAAGGAGAGAGGAGAGGAGAAGCAGTGAGAGGAAAAGAGAGGAGAGGAGGAGGAGGAAGGGGCTGGTTTTTTTCCTAGCTCCCCCAAGTCCAAGCTGTGCCAACATATCATTTGCCCTAGGACTCAGGGGGAAGGGGCCACACTGCGATTTCATGCACCCAAGGGCAAGAGGGTCTGGTCTGCCCTGGACTATGTGGCCAGCTGAGGAGGGGCTGGTGAGAGCCCCTCACTGCCCTGCACCCCCTCCCTCTCATTTGTCTCCAGGAGCCCCCTCCCCATACCTGGGAAAAAGGAATCTCCCCTTTTTTCCTTTTTTTGAGTGGGAGTTGAGGTATGGAGGGAGGAGAGGAACGTCTGTGTAGGCCCTAGAAGAGCCTGTTGGCTCCAGAGTGACCCCAAGGCGTTGGACCCCAAGGCATTGGAGCCGAGACCTGAGCCCCTGCCCCACCCTGCCTGCTGCTGTTTTAGTGCTCCGCTGTCACTGTGGAAGGGATCCGAATGGCAGGGGAACCAGAGAGGGAGCCAGAGCTGGACAGACCGGAGGACATCAGCCCCCGGGCTCTCTCTTCAGCTACACGGACTTCTGAGAAGGCAGAGACCTAGGTAGTGTACCCAACTGCATAGTTCTGGATATTGCTGCAAGTTACCCCTCTTCTGGCTGCAGCTTATCCGTGAGTACCCACTCTCTCTTTCTCTCTCTCTGATTGCCTTCCTCCATCTCCTTTCCTCCCTCCATCTCTCTCTCTCCCTCTCCTTTCCCCTCTCCTCTTCCCTTCCCCTCCCTCCCCCTCCCTCCATCCCCTCCACCCCTCTCTCTCCTCCCCCACCTCTCTCTCTTCCTCCCTCCTCCCTTTCTCTTCCTGTTCCTCTCTCTCTCTCACACACACACACACACTCCTATGCAGCAATCCATCACACACTCAGGTGCACACACACTCACATATGCTCGCACAAAGGTGCTCTACATCTGCCTGAGCCCACTGACAGCAGCCAGGGTCTCTTTGGGGCTGTGCTCTTGGCTTCCCTGTCTCTATAAAGCCTCCCTCCCTCCCCCCACCCCACCCCAGAAGCGCTCTAATTTAGCTGGGACATAGGTGCCCAGCCTCCGACCCCTCCTTTTCTATTCTCTTATTCGACTTGCTCCCCTCTCCCCTCGGGCCCGTGGGGAGCACTGATCACTGGGGGGAGAGGGCGGATGGCGAACCTACTGGAGAGGCTAGGAGAGGGAAATCCCTGGGTTTGGGCCAATGCCTGCGCCTGCCCTGACCCTACATCTCCCGTCTAGGCTGGAGGGCTGAGGGCGCATATTCGGCGGGACGCCAGCCTAGGCTGCGTCCTGCTAGCTTCTGTCGGGGCAGAAGCCGAGCGCTATCCCCAGCATCCCAGTCTGGCTGGACGGAGCCCAGTGGGCACTGCTGCTCACCTTGATCTGGTCGCTGTCCGACCAGTCGGCCCAGTAGTTTAGATCGTCGTTGGCGCCTATTTCTTCGGCAAAAGCCTGAGCGGACGCGAGGAAGAGCACAGCCAGAGCCACGAGAATTTTCATGTTGGGAATGTGGGAGCGGGAGCGAGCTCTATCTGTCAAATGGAGAAGGGGTCCTGGCCCACGGCAGAACACCGAGCCGGTGTCTGCGGAGCCTGGAGCCCAAAGGAGAAAGAGGGCAGACCTGAGGCCTCCCTATAACACAAGGGAGGAGGAACACATCGTCCGGAGTTCTCAAAGGACCACAACACACACACACACACACACACACACACGCCAGATCACCAACTCCAGGGCTGGAACAGACCTTAGACGTCATCCAGTCCAATCCCCCATTATGCATGGGGGAAACTGAGGCAGCATGGAGAGGAGCAGGGGCACTCGAACCCAGGTCCCCTGAAGTGAAAGTCCCCCAGGTTTCCCGCCTCCCCCTCGGTGTTTGAAAACTCCGATTCCCGGACCTCCCGCATCCTATCTTGTCCGTCCGTCCTTCCATAGCTTCGCTGACACTTTGCCCAGAGAACCACCCTAAGGGTCCCGGCCAGGCAGCCAGCACCTTGGGCAGCAGGGAGCCCAGGGACTCTTACCTCCTCGGGGCGGCGGCGAGCTTTCTCTGCCTCTCTCTCTTCCTCCCGGCTGGAGCCCAGTCTCCGTTTCAGAGCCTGATCCGACGGACCGTAGCGGGCGCCCACAGGTACTGGGGAGCTCGGGGGGATTCAGCGCCCGCCCAGCCCCTATTTATCCTGGCCGCGGAGTCACGTGACACTCTCCCCACTGCACTTTCTGATCCATATTCAATGAGTCCCCGCCTAGTTGCCGCCGCAACCCCCCCCCCCCCCCCCAGCCCTCCCTGTTCCTCCCCCGGCCCAGCGAGTGTCCGTCAAACCCGGAGCCAATTGCGCTCCTAGTGACGCGATGTCGGGGGAGTCGGAGCCCCGAGGGCCAATCCTCGGCTTAGCTGTCGTCGGTGGGACGGTCGGGGGAATAAGAGCGCCCCTTCCTTCTGCTCCTCGCCCCCGTAGGCCCCCAGGTCTTCTGTTCCCCTCGGATCCTGGCCATTACGCATCTCAATCCACCCAATCTGTGACTCAGGCAACTTGGCCCAGCTCCCGAGGCAGCCGGACGGGGCTGGCACCCCCGACCAACCCCAACTCTCCCCGGGAATGGAGTGGAGGGCAAAGCGCCCGGGCTTGAGGGTGGCAGGGAAACCTGCCAACATCTCTGCGCCCCCTAGAAGCTAGCCTTAGACGATGCTCCGTTCTTGGGCAGTCACTGCGAAATTTCCGCAGCCTTCGCCCTGCCCTTTCCCAGGAAGCAGCGGCTCCCCGACAGCACCAGCCTTCATTCTTCAATGTCTTTCCTTCCCCGGCACAGAGGGTGAGGGGAGGGCTCGGGACGGACTACCAGCACACTTGTGAGAAGGGCGTGCTTAACGTCGCTTTGTTACCCCAGGGGTCGTCTTCCCTACAGTGCTGGGTCTAGGCAATGGGTGAAAGGATGGATGATGTCCCTAGTGTGCTTCTGGGTTCGCCTAGGTTACTCAGGAAGCCCTCTGCCCTTCAATCTCTCTTTTCCTTCCCTCCTTCCCTCCCTCCCTCCCTCCTTCCTTCCTTCCTTCCTTCCTTCCTTCCTTCCTTCCTTCCTTCC